TGTACTGTGTATATATATATATATATATATATATATATATATATATATATATGTTAGTTAAACGTAGATTTATTCCTAGAATAATATCAATGGGATCAAACAGTGTGATAAAAGTTCTCGTTTTTAAATTGCGAATCATTCCGTATTGATTCTATTAACTTTTAATCATTCTTGTAATTTAGCATGAGCGTGAAATGTTGAAAGAGGTAGACTGAGCAAGATACAGTCACTTGCAGAACTGTATTTGTCACTTTAGTTGACATGCCAGTCTGAAGAGGGAGGGATTTCCTTGAAATGACATGAGATTAGATCAGGCTATGCCACTTTAAAGGCCCTGACTAGTTTTATTATTTTTTAAACATTCAATGCTTTTATTTATAATCTTAAATTCCTTTAAACCCTTAAAAACAGTTTGAATTAAATGACCCGAGATAAATATATTACAAGAGTGTTCTGCTATTTTGCATTTAACAGAAAACCGAACCTCATGATTTGACCCCCTTACCTTATAGACCTTCCCAAAAGCCCCATCTCCCAGTTCTCCCATAGTCTCCCATGTCTGGTGTGGATCCACATCCCTCTTCAGGTTTTCGTAGTGCCGAACTCGCTTTTTCTCCACACCCAACCGAAAGATTCGCATCAGGAGGGAGGCCATGGCTCCCTCCCTTTAAATTCACCCCAACTCCTTAAGAAATCCCAGTCCTTTTCAGTCAGTCGGTGGTCCTTGATGTCTCATTCAACAATCAGAACCCCTGCCCAAACTAAAAACAACACAAAAGACAACCGTCTGAATCTCTCCAAGGCAAAGATGCTTTTGATTGTCACGTCGCTCCTCATGCGCACCTCAGAGCACGACAGGAAGCTGCAAGTAGCAACCACATCCTTCAAAAATATGGGCCACAATAATGTGTAGGACGTGCACCTCGTCTGTAGAGATGTACTTTCAGTTTGTGCCATCTATTGTAGTGTGTTTTCAGCAGCCATAGTGCCATTACTTGTGTAAGAAAGCATAATGATGTAGATAAATAGATATGAATGATTGGTTTCAGGATGAATGTGTTGTGTTCTGTTTTACAGAAAGGCAGATATTTCTGTGCAGTAAGATGTACTGTGTTCACATGGCCCTATTCTTACTAATGGTTTCAAAACCAAACTTAGTAACAGCGTTTTAACAATGTTTTAGGGGATCCCCAAATTGTACATACTGTACACCTACTAGCTTAAAATCAATCACATCGTCAAATTTTTTTGAAAAATTTAATGAAAAAAAAAATCCATCATGGGTCTTGAAACAGGTCATCAATATGATTTTCCACTGTTGGCTCTGTTTACTGACTTGTGTAGGATGATCTGAGAGATGTAGTCCTACACTTTAACCACTAGATGGTTCTACTTTCACATATTTAACATATTTAACCACATTTAAAAGTCTTACATGAAATAATAGTCTGATTTATTTTATTTATTTTTTATTAATGGAACATTTATTGAACCATTTTAGAAACTCTAAAAAAGTATTTATTTATTTATTTGTTTGTTTGTTTGTTTTTTAATGACACCAGTTTTTTTTGTGTGTTTGTCATTTTTGATGCATCAGGCTTTTATGGCACATATAGTATGAGAAAATGGAGCTCTATTCAAGGAGGAAAAACATCTCAGTGTTATTCAGAGACTCAAACTGAGCAAAAATATTAAATGTGGTTCAGGTGTTATTATATGGCCAAAACGTATTATGAAATTCTGATGGCTTGTAATGTAAATCAGATCTTTATAACAGTAAAACAGACTACTTAAAATGCTTACTGTATATGAGTTATCACTCTATATTTCCCAATGTTATGTCTTAGTAAGATGACATTTAAATGCTTCGTTTTATGATCAAAGCTCTGTAGTTTTTATTATGAGGAGCAAAATGTATAATGCAATGAAATCCAATGATGTTGGATAAATGTTCCTCAAAAACCTAATGCATCATATTTGATACTTAGGTTTTAACATTATTTCTCTAAAAAAAAAATATATATATATATATATATATATATATATATATGGACGTAAACTGAAGTTGTTTCAGTCCTTAAGTGTTTATTTTGAAATATGACTAACAATATTAAAATTATTCTTACATACCATTATGTTAAGTCTTACTAGTCTGAACTAGTTACTACTAGTCTACATTATGAACTAGTCTGCCCAACTAGAAGTAATTTATGTAACTTATGTATAAAAATAAATAAATAAATAAATAAAATGGAAACAAAAACAGATGACTAACTTGTAAGCAGATCATGCATCTGGCCACAGTATATGCAGTATATGCAGTGGTCTCAAAAATTACTTTAAGTCACTTAAAATGTACGTATTTTATTTTTATACATAACAAAATATCAAACTAGTGGCATCTGCAAATAAATGCTCCTAACTAGAGCTTCATTCCTTACTTTACTGAGCCTTTCCCTCCAGCGACTTATAACCAACATTTACAAAAGTAAGTTATTTTAGTGGATGTATGAAGTCAGTTCAGTTGAGTCAGTTCCAGCAGAGTAACCACAGATGTAGTTTATCAAATTAATTATGTGGGACAACAGTCAGAAAGTGCCTAAATATTCTTTTGTCTTTATTTTTAATAATGTTTATTCATTTAAAATCCTTCAAATTCCCATAAAACGCTTTCTTGAAAATCAGTGGCACTCGGTTTCATATTTTATCTTATTCAAAGAAATGTATACAGTTTGATTCTGGCTTTAAGTGGTCTAACACTTTTGGGTCACTTTGGCTGTTCATACATTAGTAAACATATTGTTTCAATATCTAACATGTTCAAACTTGCTTATGCTTAAAATTGTTTAATGTGTCAAAGTTTGAAAGACAAATGCAAGATATGCCTTTGGCATGCCCTATTTCTCACCTAATAGTCTATATCAAGTCAAGTCAAGTTTATTTGTACAGCGCTTTTCACGATAATATTCTCCCAGCACTAACATATGTGACAGTGAGAGTCGTCTATGACTTCACAGTTAATGATCTTGTTTCAAAATACATCCAACTCAACATTTTGAAACTTGAGACAAAGCAATAAAGGCATGAAGTCTCAAAATCCAAATGAACCGAACAAGATCGACTCGAACTAGACATCAATTAAAATTATATTCAAACGCTGTTGCTCTTCCGAAAGTTCTCCATTCCTTGAGAAACCATGCGACCGAATGTAAATGTTTCAGATCTTTCAAAAGTTTCTCAGGTCAGGGTAAATGTTTTATGAGTAGAATTTCTTGAGGGAACGCGAAAGTTTTGCGAGTGTCGTGAAGTTGCTTGAATGCAAAAGTGTTTGAGCAAATTGAAAGCGAACGCAATGTTTCTTGGGGGACGCAAAAGTTTAACAGGGAAAAGTTAAAGTTTTGAGACCGAATATAAAGTTTTATGGGAAACGAAGAAATTTGTCCTCCAATTTCACATTTTTACCATCACCATCTCACTTAATATGCAATCTGCATATTTGTTGTACGTTTCTTTTTCAAATTAGGGTTAGGGTTTTTGTAAGTTAACATTGACAGCCCTAAAACTACATTTTATAAAACTGTAATTGTAAATTGTCCACGGACACCCTATCAACTCAATTTGAAAACCCCTGGTAAAATAACCAATTTCACAGCTGGAGCTCAGTTAAAAGTTATTTATATTCAACTTGCAACAAATTGAGATGATTAGATTCATGAGAAAATAAATTTCACATCAATTCATTCAATTTTTTAAGTTTTTTTTTAATGAAATGTTGTTGTTTTTAACTGAACAATCAATTAATTGCAAAATTAGTGAATTTGACCTTTTAAATTTTGTCAATTTTGGAAACAAAAACCAGTATATTTGTTCACATTACACTAAATAAATGGGGGTAATAATTGGCATGTGTAACACATTTAAAAGAGGTATGAACATTGAGCACCTTTACTTTCTGACTGTACAGTGGTACAAGATGGTATGCTGTTTAATGCAATGAGAGGCAGTTTCAAACTCATTTTTCAATTTTACACAGTTGATCAACATAAAAAAAAAAGTGCACCAGGACAGAATGGGACAGGGCAGTTTAAAGACGCAACAAATTCAATTAAGCTTACAGTTGAGTTAAAGGCAGGTTATGGGATAAACAAAGCAAATATCTGAGGGATTCAATGCTTTTTAAATTAACATTTAACAGTATTGCCATACTATATTGTTTTCCCTCCCAGTGGTTTATCCAATGCAACATGAAACGCAATAACAATCCAAACAGTATGTGAATCAAAAACAAACATTTGTCTTTGGGGGAATTTATCTTTTTAACCATAAGTGAAACGTAAACTTTATGACTCCAATAGTTTCAAAACATGATTGAAAGTGGTACACAGCATAAAACCACATATTGTTGACTCTTCATCTTTCAATAAATACACACATTGAGTGACCAATACAATATCTTGTTTGGCACACTTACATGTATTAACTGAGCTTCAGGTGATGGCATGTCCAACCCTCTGGGTTTCTCCAACAATTCTTCAGACTAAAATACATAATCAAAGTGTTAACAATATCCTGAATTTAAACTATTTGTAACCATTACTTGTTATACAAGGCTGACATCCTGGAGAATCCTTGAAGACTGAGAAATTGATTGCTTGATTGGTGAAGTAATAACATTCCTACCTTTCTGTCTTTGATGACCGGAGCAGAGTCCACCAGCACCTCCACTGAGGAGGACAGCGGATTCCCTTTGGCTGTGGTTTCGGCCTCCACAGGAGGAGGAGTGGCTTTCTGTGACACGGACATAAAGAAGACCATTACATATGAAACCATAACAACCATTAACAGAACAATGATAACATATCAGCGGTCACTGAGGCAGTGACGTGCCAGTCTGCATATCTGCCCAATCTAGACATCAACTGTTGCCAAGCACTGGGGCAAGTTTTTAAGCAGAAAGTAAACAGAGCTGACAAAGTTTGGTTTAATTCATAAAGTCTGCGTGACTATTAGGTAAATAAATCAATATTTACAACCTGTTGCACAAATGTATTCTGTATGCATGCTCTTTGCATGTTTACAGAATGCATACGGAGTATTTTGAAACCAATTTTACGTTATGTGGAACAGATAAGCTGGGTATATTTGGTATATTTTGGATAGTCTGAAGGGATAGATGTGGAGATATACTATATGATACATTGATAACTGGAGTATAATGGAGTTTAATTTGCTACTATCATTCTATATACAGTATCTGCTCACTTAAAGTTAATCTTTAAAACAAACTAATGATTTAATAACACTGTTAAATGTAATCTTTAGCAAATCTCAAAATGAACATCCATTTTTCATACTGTACATTATAATGTTGTGATGCCAAATTCACTTGTAACATTTAGAGGACTGTATTTTAAACTGTAGTATTTTTTAGACAAACTAGTATAGAATTTTATTTTCACCTCCAGTTTGGGCACCGGTGGGATGACTGGAGTTTTAGGAGTGAGGTCCGTCAGGTACATTGCACGAGAGAGCAGCAACAAGGATGGTGGGACATTCTCTTTCAAGTGCAGGTCCAGCCACTGAGAGAGAAAGAATGCGAATAACAATTAAGAATTTATCAATGACTCAAAGCATACACTCACACATACAGTAATGTCAAAACAATCAGAAATATATCTGTAACACCACAGACAAAGCGTTACGGTGACAACACCACCCTGTGACAAAAGGAAAAACAATACTCAGTAGGCACAAGCTGGTAAATATAAGAGGACTGTTTAAAGTCTGTTGTATGTGACACACTTTCAATTTGTCTACAGTCTTTGGGTGGGAAACAGTCATAAATATCCTCCAGTAGGCCGTTTTACAACCTAGTCAGGCTGGCCTGTGCACACACACCTGCTGCAGCTGCTGTCGGAGCTGATCTGTGGTCAGACCCAAAGATCTCATTCCGCGACTCCTGCAGGCGGCCTGGAGCTCAGCTACAGTCATTGCGGCCACACCCTCCTTGGCGATCATCTACAGAGAGACACGAAAACCGAAAATCATGATTATCTAACATCTGAGATCATCTCCTTAACATATCAAACCCAGAATATTATTTCAAGGTCTAAGGCCCTGATCAGATAGAACGCGTTTTTTGCAGTGAGAGGTGCCTTTTTAAAATTGTTTTCTATTGGCAGTGAGCATGTTGCGCATTATGCGCCCCGAACATCTCACGTTTTAGCCACCTGCTGCGCCTCGCATTTTTGTAGGAGCACTCTGAGTGCCTAAAGTTGAAAAAAAAAAAAGCAACTGAGCAGAAAAGCACGCGACGTCATTCGCGTTTTTTTGCATCATTACACAGAGCCGTAGTTCACTGACAAGCTACGCATTATCGTGTTCATTATCGCATGCGATTCGTCTGCGATAATGAACGCGATATTGCGTAGCTTGTCAGTGAACTACCGTTCTGTGTAGTAAATGCCGCTCCATCTAAAAGCATGTGATGGAGATTTACTACTAATCACGGAACCGGCTTTACTGACGAGATGCGCATGACAATCACATGCGATTTATCGTGCAACCCTAGTAATGAGCGTTGTTTACATTCAGCATGCGCACGCTGTCTACTGAACGTAAACAACGCTTATTATGTTCAGCGAAACCGCACGCATGCTGAACGTAAACAACGCTCATTACGTTGATTGCGTTCTGGGGTACTCTCCAAAATCGCAGAAGATGGTAAATCAGGGAGAAGAATTGCTAAATAAATTATGTTATTGTTCGTTTTCTTTGCGCACAAAATGTATTCTCGCTGCTTTGTAAAATTACGGTTGTACCCCTGATGTCACATGGACTATTTTACAGATGTCCTTGCTTTGTTTCTGTGCGTTGATCGTGGTAATATCATTGCTGTCTATGGAAGGTCAGAGAGCTCTCAGATTCCATCAAAATTATCAATTTTTGATGTTAAATTAATTTGTGTTCCGAATATTACCAAAGGTCTTACGGGTTTGGAACGACATGAGGGTGAGTAATTAATGACAGAATTTTCATTTTTGGGTGAACTAAACCTTTAAGAGCTGTGTTTTAAAAAAGATGCAAAAGTCAAAGATGTTTATTTAGTGTATGTTTACGTAGAAAAATAATAGAAAACTAGCATTGTCGAACGCAAAAATGCATTCTTTGTGATCGGCCCCTAATTTTAAGACGTATGGTTCAGTCACCCACAAACCTAGAGGTCACAGCAACATGTCCAGTCATAAAATCAGCTGTAAAACTACTTTAGAGGGTCAGTGGCAGTTGTCTGGTTTTGTCTCACCTCATCGTCAGTCTTGATGGTGCGCAGCTGCATCATCAGCTGGAAACGCAGCAGGTTATTGGTGCCGATGGGCTGCAGCTCCAGCAGTTTGCACAAGGCCACCAGCTGCGGCCGCTCCAGATGCTCCAGCGTCAGCTCATCCTCAAAGAGCTTGGAGAACTTCACAATGTCTTTAGTGCTGGGCTGTTCACCGGTGTGCCTCACCTATAGCAGACAAGTTAGAAGCGTCAGTCACAACCAGAACTATACGTGATTTTAACTATACGTGATATGGAAGAATGGATTTGATTATTGAACTCACCTGTTGCACGTAAGTCGAGAACTTCTGAGTCTCATCTCCAACAGCTGCTTTGTTCCTCCTGGCCATCTCAGCAATGGTCTCCTGTAAGAACTTGGCCAGCTCTAGTTTAGCAGCAAGTCCCTTCCTCTGTTTTTCCTCCTGTCAGAGTAAAACAAACAAATTCAGTTGTTTCATTAGTAATTACTCAACAATTTTGACCAACTTTTACAACTTCATGAAAATTACTACTCCGATTCATTGAGAAATAGTTTTACAAATCCTTTACACAGATTTCTTATGCTTGCATTTCATAATTTAGGCTGAACTTTTGCTGTTGTTTAAAATGTAAGCTTATAATACCTTCTTGGACTCTGTCTCAAATGTAGAGGGCAGCATTTCTGGAAAGAGTTTGAGGAATACGGGGAGTAGAAACTCCATGAAGGGAACGATGACAAAGACCATGAAGGGCACAAGCCGGAACAAGTCGGCACATGTCCGCATCAGCTGTGGAGACGACGGGACAGGTCTTATTCATCCGTAGTCAAACACAAAAGCAATATGGGTAAGTGAGAATAGCATTTCTGGCCTAATCCAGCTGTACTTTCTCTGAGGTGTTAAGATTTTTGGTTATGCAATCCTATTTGTGTCACATTACATTATAAATCCTTGACCAACAATGGTTTGTTCTAACAGGATTATCAAACATAATTACCTTTTTATAAAACTCAAATCCTGTACATATATTAATAACTTATGACACAATTTCCTTTGTCAAACTACTTACATCTTATATAAAGGTGTTTTGAGACTATAAATAACAAAAGTGCCATGGTATTACCATTATTTTGGACATTGCACCTTGGTACTACTTGGAATACTATGTGAATGAATATTGTAAACAAAGAACTACATTATACAGTATATAAAGAAACATCACCATAGAAATTTTAGGATAAAGGAAAAACATAATATTACCATGATTTTTTTTTGTGTGGACATCACACCATGGTAATAACATGATGAAATACTATGGTTGTAATATAGCAATTTTGTACATGAACTATAGTAGTTCAAATGGCATTTTGTAAGAGACATAAGTTATTGATTTTAAAATAGATGTGGATTTAATAATTGTGCATTTTAATTCATTGTAAAAGTGCAATATATATTTAAATAATTCTGAAATATTAGAAATTGAAGCTCCAATAATACCACTTAAATGATGTTTTGACTTTAACGTTTTTGTTTCCGGTTAATTTTGTTGTTAAACATTTTTAAATATTAACTAGAATATCAAACACTGGAATATTATTTGAGAATGTATAACTTGAGCTCACATATCATGGAGAGATGCAAAGAAATAACAAATCAGATGTAAAGCTACCACGGGTATTATTTAAATTAACCTGAAGTACCATGTAAATACATTACAAATCTGATAAATGATATTTCTCCATATCAATCTACCATGGAATTAATATCCAATACAGCCACTCTACCACGGTAAACCCAAAGTAACACAAAGCTCCTCATCAAAAACATCTCAAATAGATTTCCAAATCTTTCTCGACCCAAACATACCCTCCTCCTCTCCCTCCTGGTGAGCTGCTGCCCGTGCAGTAACCTCCAGGCCATCCTGCCCGCGATTTTGGTGTCGATGCCCAGAAGACGGAAGCCATGATAGTAATGCTTGAGCTCATCCAGGACTCTCTGTCCCAGGGACTTTCTTGGCACTGCTGGTGGTGCTGGAGGTAGTTGAGTGCCACAGGCGGCAAGGACAGGCTCACCCTTGACAGGTTCAGGGGTGTCCTTCACCTCTTGAAGCCAAGCACATGAACTGTGGAGGGGACGTGCAGCTATGCAACCAGGGCGGATGAAGCTGGATGTGTAACAGGGGTACAGCGGCCTGGGACACCTGGCTGTGACGGCAACCCGGCTGAGGAACTCCGAATGGTAGCGTATGCATGCGGTCGACGGGAGTGAAGCACAACCTTGTCTTTTAGAAAGCAAGTAGGATCCCCTGGAAGAAACCCAGAACTTTGAGCTTTGATAAAGAGAGTATTTACAATGTTAAAGCACAAAATAAAATATTTAGTGCTCTAGATTACTACAGAAAATTATTTCAACTCATTCTTCAGTTTGTAAAAAAAAAAAAAAACAGCAAAATTGTTTACAGTAATGGTCGATCGAGCCCTAAGATTTTAAAATGATGTTAACATGAGATTAGTGCGATAAAATCGTTTACTAGCCTCGTCTTAAAGCTAATCTTTCAATCCTATCCTGATCATGTAAAGCCTGTAAACCCAGTGACTTTTTAATAATGTGCAAAACAATATGAAAGCAAGTATTTACATCAGGAATTACATTAAATTAATTAGCCTAGAAAGGTATTCCCATCACTAAAAGGACGATTTAGCCAACAGCTCCCATATATTTAGAATGCAAGAATTAATGTGCTTTAACAAAAATGCAAGCTTCCCATTTCTGTTTTTAAAACCTCTATGAAGCATTGCAATTGGGGAACACTGCAAAATATTATGAAATAATATTTTTAAATAATAGTACACTTGGAACAGGACAAAAAAAATTCATTTTTGCACCAGTGACTTGGATGATGACCTCACCTTGATCTTGTTACAGCTAGAAGCACCTGTGAGCTAAAAACCGCCATTTTGTTACTTAAAATCAGGTGTCCTGTAAAGAGAAATAGATGCAATGTAATGTAACTGTGATGCAATTAGATTTACACATATTAGAGACTTATAAAATCTGATTAAATGGAGGATTTTTGAGGAATAATCCTCTTTATCACCGTCCCAATATTCATGAATAAATGTACACAGATTCACAAACAGATACAGATACACAAGTATTTGTGAGGAATAAGTCCTGCTATTTTTTGTGCATATTTGTTGTTGTAACTTATATTTGTTATTATGTACGTATGACTACAAGTAGATTTATTGATGAATACTGCAACAATAATAACATCCTGTGTAGGAAAGCACGCTCGTCACGGATGAGGCCGGTGTAGCAGTCGATTCTGTTCCCCTCTGGAATTTGTGTTCTCCCTCGGGTTGCCAGGTCTGTGTAATAAACCCGACCAAATAGTTAATCAAACATTGCCCCAAAGTAGCCCAATTCCGCGGAATAAATACTGTGGATTTGGCAACACTGCAGCATGCAAATACACCAAACACAACTGGATGTACGGAAAGCAAAAATAGACAAATGTGTTGCTACACTGCAGCATAGTAAAATGATTCTCACACTCCAGTTAATGTTCTGTGATTTTTTTATTCTTCTTGCAATTGTTCCTTTGTTTATGTCCGAGTTTTTGAAGTTTAATTTTGCCTATGCAAATTAGTGTAATCTGTCCGTGCTGACGTCCAAACTCAGGGCATAGGCTATTACTGTTTCCATATCAACAATACATTTTAATTAATATTATATTTGATTAATCTGTTTACCTTCTCACTGATACAGTGGAATATATTTAATCAGAACACTTATCCAAACCTTTTTTTTTTTT